AAATATTCCGGTGAATTGCCACTGCAAACTTTTGCAATATAATCAAAAGTGGTTGAAAAAGATGAAAAAAGATTATGAGAAAAGTATTCGATGTTTCAAAGAAACCCAATGACACATCTGTAAATGGAGATCTATTTGCATTCGACTGCTGTGAAAAAGTATCACAACAGTTTTCGACTGCTGTGAAAAAGTATCACAACAGGAACGAAAAATTTTCGTTCCTTCGCTATATTGTGCTCAAATGCCAAAATTTGACTCGCATAATCACAATTTTCATTGAAAATTTGCATAAAAATAAAGTTGATTTCAAGGTCGAAAAGATAAAAGATGCATGCACTAACTTTCAGCAATATCATTGCAAGTACGGATAAATTAAATTCAGCTTTGCACATCAGCGAGAAAGATTCAGTTTTGAATATTTAGGAATGAAAACGTTATGCAAAGCAATCAAGTTCGATAAATTATAACAGTTCATCTAAGGGTCATGTCCAAATCATCACAAATAATTAACAATGAATCTGATAAGATATTATATTGTACTGATTTCAGTCAAATGGGACAAGGAAGCATACATACGGAAGTATTCAAATGATAAATCAGAGGAAGTTTGAAGTGAAAGTAGCGAAGAAGACAATAGCGAATTATGATATTTCTTCTTTATTGATTAGTTGCAAGCCAATTTGATCTAACAAACCAATAAACTTACTTTAATAACTTGCAGTGATTAATTTTAAAATTGAACCAGGAATGCTGAGTGATAAGAAAGTATATGATCGAAATCAAAGTTTGTAAATTTCGAACTTGAATAATTCATTTTTATTTTTAAGGCATGACTCATTTTCATTTCTGCAAAAGAATCTCTGGCAAATGTGAAAAATCCCATATTTTTTGCTTTCAACTATTATATCAAACGTTTTGTGCACTTGGAAATAAAATTATTCAAAAAAGTTAGAACGGAAGTTAAAAATAATAGTGGGCTGAATTTATCAGTCTAAGCATGCATCAGATAATATATGAGATGCTGCTGAAACCAAGTAATTCCAAAGCAGAAATTGAGTTCATCTCAAGTTTTAATTGTCGATAGCAAATATTTCCAATGTTTCGTTGGAACATCTTTCAGCCCATTTCAATACTTTGCAGCAAAATGCTGAAGGCTCCTTCCTTTTCAGATCTTCTTGAAGAAGCACTTTTCAAAGCGTCAATTTAAAAGGCTTCATTATGTGTATTGATTGATCAATTTTTGTTTCATTATGTGTATTAATTGATCAATTTTCAATCGAAAATGCAAATATTCAGAAAAATTGACGTCGTAAGCAATATTGTAACTGCTTTTTCCAATTTGCTAACTTATTATGGTTCATTTTCACGGCTGACATATTGCGAATGGTTGTCATATCATTAATTCAAATAACTGATTGATAAGCGACCAGAATAACCAGTATATTGCATCTTAATTTCCGTTTACTTAATTGAGTCATAAAGCATTTTCAGGGTTCTCAGCTTTTCACAAGTATCTATCTTCTAGTTGCTAAAAAAGTTCGCAACGAACGATGTTTATGCTGTTGAGTTAATGAATTAAAAAATAAATTATTTTTTTTACACTTATAAACTTTTTAAAAATATCAAAAGTAATCAATTCTTCACGAATAAAGGTTCTACTTAATAGAATCTAATAACTTTTACCACCTGCGCAATTTAATTTTTCCGCTGAGTGTTTTATCCGAATAAACTTCTCCACCCGCGCATTCTTTTCTAGCAGCCCTTCCACTAAGATGGTCGAAGAAGCATACCGTTTTTCGAAGAATCTGGCATGCTAACGCACAAATTAAAGTCCCTTATGAACGGAAGAGGGATTAGTTAAAATACTAGATGCTAACAGAATTCAAGCCTGCTTCAAAAAGCTATCACTTTTAGACGAAATGTAAGCGATAACTTTTTATCTTACAATAGTGTGGTCGAAAAATAGGTATACGCAAGTCTCCGTGTGCCTTGTTTGATCTCACGTTTTTTGCATTTTTTTTTTGTTGATAATTGTATATCAGTTTTGGTTGATAAAAAACGCCAATTTCAAAATTCAAAAAAGTATACAGGTCATGGCTATTGTAATAGCATATAAACTTGCGAGTTTGTTGTGCTTTTTCAATTACTTTATAAGAAATCCAATTATTCAATTTTTTAAGTTATTTTTTTTTGTAAATATGAAACAGAACAATACATCTTACTCGAATACTTGCAAGAAAATTTTGTTAAAATTGAATCTTTGGACACTTCTATTTTCAATAATCTATCCAAAAATTTATTTTAGAAACAAACTTTTATTTAAAAGAATTAAAAGTAAAAAATACCAGTAATTAAAATTTAACTTCTATATATGTAACAGAAATTGGTAGAAAAAAATCTAAAAAATTTCCTCGTGTTCATATATCTCTGCACTCACACAACCTTGTTCTGCATATATCCTCATCTCCACGCTTTCCCGCGTTCTCACATTCATTCACTGATTATCGTAGAAAAAGTTCTAAAAAATTTCAGTTCGCAAAAATTACAACTCCCTTTTACGTATTTAAAATGTTTTTGACTTTCGTGATTGAGCTTTAAAAATTATGTTAACGGCTAATTCAATTTTGGAGTGTGATTCAAATAATCATTTCAAATATTTCTCGTGCAAATTTTTACTTTCTACTTTATAGTGCTCATCGAATATTTTAATTTGACGTGATGTAAAACTGGTAGTATTCTCACTTTTTAAATAATTGAAAAAATGGTGAATTCCTGTAAAATTAGATTTAAATTGAATTTTTTTTTTTTGAATTGTTTATTTTATGAAATATTTTCAAAGTAGTTGTCTGTTTATTACCCTTTTATAATTTAATTTTTGTGTAATTAAGTTCGTTACTAAGTGTGATTATTTCTTTACATAGCAATTTATAATCTATCATTGTTAGTTAGTTTTATTTAGAGAAAAATAGTATTCTTGCTTAAAAAGTTGCATAATTATTTAGTTCTATCTAAATTCAAATTTTCAGATATTATATATATAATATTCACTAAAATTTAAAAACTTTTTAAATGATTCAAAATCTTATTTTGCATTTTATTTAGTTAGTACATTTTAATGTTAATAATCTTTTCAGCCTGATAACTGAACTGTTGAAATAAATGAACAATTATGTCAACGAATAAAATTTTTAAAAATTATTCTCTGATAAAACTTTGAGGTAAAACAATGCTCTGTTTTTATAAAAACTAAAAAACAAATAAAAACAATAAAAAGATTGAAAACCAAATCAAAGTAATAATGTACTTTAAAAAAACTTCAAGCTCATAACAATGAAAAACAAAACAAACATTTTCCAGATGTGACAAAAAATGTTTACAAAAATACCAAACCTTTAACTTACTAATAATTTAATCTTCAACATTTATCAAATAATCGTTAAGTCTTACCGTTTGCGTCAAAAATAAATTACACGAATTAATATCATAAAAAATTGAATTACATTTTTTATTATAAAAATATAAAATCAATCAATTTTTATATTAATATTTGATCCGTTTTTTTTTTGTTATTTCAATTAAAAATTTAATAGAAAATGTAAATGCTGTTGAATTTTAATGATTAAATTTACGATTTTCAAGTTTTAAATATCAACGCCAAAGGCATCGTTCATACATAACTGCGTTGGAATTTGAGTTCTGATCTTTTAAATAATTATAACATTTAGCTACAACAAAAGTTGCCCAACCAGCAATTATTATTCCAATAAATATAGTCACGACCATAATCATTTGATCTAAAATTTAATTAAATTTATTTTGGATAATTAATATATGAAATTTGTTAAGTATAGTCTCGTTAAAAGAATTACTTTCTTAAAAACTGATATTTCATATTTTTTAATCAATTTTATTATTTTTTCAAGTCTAAAAAGTAATAATGATTTTAAAATTTTTTTATGATTTCATATAGTTGATTAATCAAAAACTGTTCTTTGACAGAATCGTACAAAAATATTTTCTGATCTCAATTTTTATGTCAAACTTGAAGTGATCAAAACGTTGAGCTGATTGCATTGTACAAATTCTATGACTACAATTTAAAATTTTTAGTTTGCCAATTTAAGTAATTATAATGTGTTATTTGCTTAATATATATTAATAACAAAAAATTACTTTGTTACTTAAAATTTTTTACTCTAAAACTTACCAACTTTAGTATTGAATGTTTGCTTTTTGTATGCAATCGTATAATATAATGTGTAAAGTGCTAAAATGCAAAAGCCTGCACATTCGGCTATCTAAAAATATATTGTATACTATTTTAGAATACTACTTAATGAAAGTCGACATTAAAAAATACTGTATCTCTAAAATTGCAAATTGAATGCTCTTAAAATTATCCATAATATTTGTCCTTGAATTTGAAACTGAAAAATTTATATTAAATATAAATTATTAAATATTATTAAAACTCTTAAAATTCAACTCTTATTATTTGAATATTTTTGTTCTTTATTATGCATTTATTTACGATTTTAAAAACATGACAAATTATGGAAATGACAAATTTAAAAAATAACAATTTACAAAATGACAATTAAAAAATGACAAATTACAAAATAACACTATTTTTAATTTATTTATTTTTACTTATATCATTTTTTTTGTAACTTATGGCCCTAAAGTAAACTGATTTGATTTAAGAAATGTGCAAACTTTTACTGCCAATTCTTTTATATTTATTTCTATCAGAAGATTGAGCAAAATGAAAACATTAGAGCCAGAAATTTAAAAAAAAAAAACTTTTGTTAACTTCTTTCTTTTACTGTAATTAATATCGTGGCTGATAGTAAGTACTATTACTTAATAGTCACTTTCAAAAGTAGTAGCATTGAATGAAGAAAATCATTTTAAGGGTAATATATGCATAATTTCAATAATTATGGCAAATTGGCATTTAAAAGTATTTATTAAATATTTTTTACAAAATTACTTGAAACAAATTTCTTAATACAACGTTTTGCAACAAAATTTTTTAATGTATAACAAATTTTCTAAAAGTTACTAACATATAAATAATTTTTATTTACTGAGTTTTAAAAATTTTTTCTAAATTCATGTTTCGCAAAGTAATTCATCCTTTCAAATTATAACTTTTTAATAAGCATTGATTTATCATTTAATACTTAGTAATAATAATTTACTGATTTCCAAACGTTTTCAAAAAATTTCAACTCTCTTATTTTTTATATTCTTGAACTTATGAAAAAAGCAAGTATTTAAATTTAAGTATTTTTATGTATACCACATTTGTTATATATTTTCTGTAATATTATAATTTATTAATTTGTGTCGTAACGATAAAAATAACGTTAAAAAAGTGAGTACTTACGGAAGTGATGATAAATGGAATAAGAAATACGGCCTTTTCATAGTAAAGAGCGAAAAAAATCATCGTTGCAGTAATTGTATTTGCAATAAGCAATAAAACGTCAAGTGAAAAATTCACGGAATATACACCAAAAAACATACTAATACCATTGAAAGCACTAAGTAATAGTGCTGATATTGCTACATATAGTGTCGCTTGCTAAAATAAATTATAATTGCTAAAAATTGTCCAAAAAAATAAATTATACTTAATATCTAATTAAAATTAATCAGAAGCAATTTGCTTATTTTTAAATTTTAATTCAATATTCAGTATTTAATAATTAATGACTAATTTGATATTTTACTGAAATTAAAATTATTACTGTATATGTCAGTTACAGTGAATATTCGCTTAATAATGTTTTTTGTTTAAAAGTAAATTAATTTGAAGTAGCAAATTAAAAAATGATTGTTTAGTTGTAAAAAAAAGTGAACTTTGACTTTAAAATCAACACTGACCCAACCCTAGCTTTATCATAAAATATTACAATTATTAAAATGACATAAATATGTGATTAAAAAAAGTAAATAATTACTTTTTTACTGATTGACTTTTAATTTTAACAACCTATCGATAGATAAAGCTAATATTGATCTTGTTCTGCATTATAATGATAAATATAACTTAAATTTTACTCATAATTTAAATTAATTTTTTCGTTTAATAGTTTTTTAAATTCATGACGATTGCATTGCAAACTTTACAAATTTTAATGCAGTTTTTTAAACTGTTTTATCATAAATTATTAATTAAAATTTTGATTGTTCGTACTGATTGATTTAAAAGATCTATTGCAGATTAAAAAATAAATAATTAACATTACTTTAATATGGACGTTACCACCACAGCATCGATGACTTGATCGACTATCATTCTCGACTTCATTAGTTAAAATTACATGAAAAGGTAAGCCACAACATCTCATTTTTCAAGATGGCAATGCCAAAATTTTTCTGAAAATTAATTTTTAATTTTTGCTTTCTAATTTTTTTTAATAATATTATTTCTTGTTTTTGTTGTAATTTCGACAAGCATAAATAAATACTTTTTCAGTATTTGGTTAACAACTAATAATTCTCATTTTTAAAGACAAGTATTCTTATCTATTCTACTTTGTTGAATTTTTAAAATAAAATAAAACTTCAACTTTTTATTATTTTTTTTTACACTGCTATTATTTATTGTGAAAAAATTTTTACTCCAATTAGCTAATATTTTTGGTTTTCAAACAAGCTAATATTCATATTTCTGGTTTGTTCCAAAAAATATTTCGAACTTTTAGATACTTTGAATTATTTCAACTTAAACACTTTTTCAAATAAAACTGATATTAATTTTCCTCATTATTAGTTGATTATTGTGAGTCAAAATGACTGCTAAAATATTTTTTACTAAACCCAAAATGCCTCAAAATCATAGTAAGTTTTAAATTGGAAATGAAAAATTTTAATTCCATTCCAAAATTTTATTCGTGACAAATAGTCCTAATTTAAAAGTCTTATTTTACTGATATTTTAAAAACGATTAATTTTTATGGAAATAAATTTTGATGTATTTCAATGTTTACTGGAAAACTTTTTGCCCAAAGTATATGCTAAAGTAATATTAGATAGCATAAAAAGTAAGTTATTTAATAACTAAAGTGATTTAAAAAATAACATCATAAGTTACCTTCGTTCACTGCACTTAAAAAATGCTGTAAAAGAATATTTGATAAATGTTTAAAAGATTTTGTTAAAAATTCGAAAAGCTTTGAAAAAAATAACAAAAAAAACATATTTGTGCCCCTAAACTTTTACTTTATCTCATTTTGTTAATTCATGCTTAATAATTCTATTTTATTGGCATTATATATTACTATCAAATTTAAGTTTAATAATTTGTCACTTATTTCCTTTGTATTTTTTTAATTTTCATCATGGTAGAATAACATTAGTAATAATGAATTAAATTACCTTCTTTATAATTCTATTTGAAAATAAAGAATATATTGATAAACTTTTACTTTATATAACTTTGTTAATTCCTATTTTTATTTTAAATATTAATGCTTTTTAATTAAGCAAATTATTTAGCCTTCACAATGCAAGAAAAATAAAATTGTATTAAACAGAGCAAGAAAGTTTTTAGAAAAGATCAAAAATAAATAAATTTAATATTTCGATTATACATTTGTAAAGTTTAATAACAAGAAAATCATCAGGACTTCAACCATTCCATATTTAAATACAAAGATTAAGGAGAAATTTTCAAATTTTGTGCTTAGCACAGTACACTGATAAAAATTATATCAGTTAATATTACTTGAAACGCATTAATCTAGAACATATAGTTAGTTTTAAAAATTATTTTATTACGAAAAGTTTTTGGCTGCAGAAAATTCAGTACATAGAAAGATTTCAGTTATTAACTTCATATGAACATTTGCGCAATGAAATTAAATCATTATCATTAAAGATATTAATTTAAAGGTTTATTCAGTATCTACCGATTATTATTATTATTTTCAGAAAAATAATTAACAAGTATACCAATTTAAAAGTGTTATTTTTTAAAATACTTTGATCGTTTATTTATTTTTATTCACTCAGAAATTCACAAATTTCTATTCTAAATTAAAAATTTTTTGTCCAAACTTTAAAATAGCGTCTAATAATTTGTTCATTGCAATGTTTACTCGTTTTTTTATTGTACTAAATTATTTTATTTTAATTACTTAATTAATTAGCTTACTTTCAACTGGTTTTAGCATTGAGCTGATCAGAAATCACGTCAATCAGAGATTATTGGCTAAAATAATCGATAATGAAAAAAATCACCACACAATATATTGTGCAACATTGTTGATTTTTGAATTTCAAGCAATCATTTCTTTTCATTCGTCTACTTTCCTTAAAACTTATTTCAAACATAAAGCAACAAATATGAGGTAATCAATAAAAGTAATAGTACATTAAAAATTAAATTTAACGAACCATAAAACTGTTAAAATACATTTTCCAATATTATTGAAAATTATGCAGCAAAATATTAGCCAAAAAATTTTTTCACAATTATTTAATTGATGATAAATTTAAATATTAGCTAAATCAATCATAACTTTGATAAAAGTGAGTTCATCATTAGTCAAAATTATACTTATATTTTGATAACTGACAGCACACTGTCATCAAATAGTTTTGATGTGCCAGCTGACTTCCACACTTTTCATCAATTAAAATTTTAAATATACACAAACATGTGTTATTCATTTATAATATTTCTTTCAGAATTTACAAAAAAAAATTGTATAGAAATAACTTAGAAAAACAATAAATTAATTTTAATATAATTTACGTCTGAATAATTTATTAAAACGTATCGATTACAGCCAACGTTATGATTGAAATTAATAATTTTATGATTATGCATCTTATATCAACATATCATATGAATTTACTTTAACAACTTAATAAATTTATTTAGCTTATTGAAGATTTAACAGCCATTCTGTGCAACTCTGGCACATACTTTCAGGAATTATTAAATGTTTATCTTGCTTTCTTTCATAGTTATCGCAAGTTTTCTACTTTATATAAAGTAAATCACTTCTAATTTCACTTTACTAATTACCTAAATTTTTAGCTTTTACATCAGTCTTAACTTTATTTTGCTCACAATCTTGGTGAGATCTAAAAGTTTAACATAACTATGAGTTGCTATAAATATTTCAGAAGCTAAATACACAAAAATCATTAACAAATATAAAACTGATCGCTATCAAAACATTTTAAAGCTAATAAAATCTATACATCAAAACTTGATCTATTCTAGTACTACTGGAGCAAAACTTGATCTATTCTAGTATTATTGAAATGTACTTTAAAAAAATTATCCTTAGCAATTCAAAAATCTTAATTTTTTTATGACAGAAATTACTTCATAATTAAAAAATACTTTGATTTTTGAGAGGATTTGCAGCAGATTTTTACATATTACCATAAATGAATTATTAAAATTAGCAATCAATTGATGATATACTAATAAAAAATACAATTTTTTAAATAATATAAAAAATTAAATCTGGTATGTTGATTTAATTTTTTTAAATCGTTATGAGAAAGTTCAACAATAATAATGACAAAAGAAAATGTAGCACTTTGATAAATGAACTTTTGTCAATAAATTATCAAAATTTATGATTGAATTGCTACAAAATTAGCACAAATTATTACTGACCTTTTTGATCTTATACAAAAGTTGAATTTAATTTAATTTACTAATACAAGTTTGCAAGCATTCTAAAGACGAAAATTTGCCAGCTTGTTTTAAAGTTCCATTTGAAATGTAAAATTGTTGCTGCGATCGAAATTCAAAAAATTTTAGAACATATCATATTTCATGAAATTGATCAAAAACGTCGAAACACATAAATAAATACACGTTTATTAAATCTTTTAATATGTCTAATACTTTTTGAAAAGCCGATTTACTAATACCCTTAATTAAGAAAACTATTTAATTATATAAATTAATATTTTCTATTAATTTTATTTAAAATAAATATCCTTGACATCAGTGGGTTTCAAATTTCACTTTTTTCTAGCATGTATTTTCTGTTTTAGACTTGATAAGATAAATGTTGTTACTCTAAGTAAAATATATTTTCAATGTTAATGTTTACGGTATCAAAAAGTTGCTAGCAATTTTTATCAGATAAAATAACAACTGCTAAAATATTTTATGAATAACAAGTAGTTAAGATTTATTAGAATTTAACAAATTATGCTTTCAAGGCCTAAAATCTTAATTTGTTCACATGTGAAAAAAGCTGCTGGCAGTTCTTACCAACCAATATATATCATTAATAAGCAAATTATATATTCATATCATAGCTAATATCAAAAAATAATATCAGTCTTTTTAGAATGACTGATAGACAAATTTGTCCAATTAGTTAATATGTATGTATTATCAAGATATTCCTGAGAAAGCAGAAATAAATATCGAAAAAACAAAAATTAGACAGAAATTGCATAAATAGCTTCTTATTTTTCCTGATTCCCTATTATTTTTACATATTATTACAACAAATTGAACTATTGTTAGTATTTATTTAAATTATGCATATAAAAAGATAAGTGATAAACAAAAAGTAATAAACAAAATTTGCATAAATACAAAAAAGGTTACATATATATTTACAACAAAAACTTTCAATAATATATTGTATCCTTATAAAATCACGTCAAAACGTCAATGACTTTTTATAAAAAACGTGTTACAATAAAATATAATAAAGTACAACATGAGCGGAATGAATTACACAAATGAATAATAATGCAGTTTTTGGTTGCAGCAATCAAAACGTGAATATTTATATAAATTTGATCCTCTTCATTTTTATCATCATTTATTTATTTTTACTATTTTTATTATTTATTTTTTATCCGTTGTCATTGATTAAAGATTAATTATAAACATTGTCATCCCATGTACAAGATGAAATTGCTGGTAACAAATAAAGAGTAGTAGAATCTTTTTTCTAACATTATTTCTATTATTTTGGAATAATAATTATTATTATTATGATAAATATTATTATTACTATGATTAATTATTGCTATTATAAATAATAATAATAATATTATTATTTTTACTAATACTGCACTTAATATTATAATTCCGTCAATATTGTTGCAGACTTTTTCACTGACAATTATCGTTTAGTTTTGTTAAAAAAATCAGATAAACAAACAAAAATAAAATTGGTGTCGCCAAAGGATTAAATGAAAATCAAAAATAAAGTAAAATGTCTTTTTAGTTTGTAAATAATTAAAAAAAGAATACTTAATTTAATCACAAATTTACTATTACAAAAGCAAAATAGACGTTGATAAGAGCTTTTCAGAATGTTCACGGATAAATAAACTCCACGAGATTGCTTGTTTTTCTGAATAAGTTGAATTTCTGTTAATGAAATTAAATTCTATCACAAATAAATAGCGAAGAGGTCATGTTATCTTTCATTTTATTCTTTGTAATAATTCATGTTTGTGAAACAGACTTTATAGCGATTCAGAATGCAAATTATTACAATTTTGAAACATTATAGGCTTTGTATCAAATTCTTGTTTTCATCTCGACTACATTTTGATGTTTTGTAATTGCAATAATAATTTACAAAGTTTTAAAATAACAGTTTTTAATTTCAAAATATGCAAATTATTTCTTATCAAAATACATCTGAAGAAATTGATGATAACTTTGGAGAAGAGTTCATTCAAAAAAATTGTATGCAGTCTTTAGTCTCAATTTTGTCATCTTAATTTTTTTTAATATAATTAATATAAGTAAAAAGTGCAATTTGGTTAAAATTTAATTTCATACCGATACTTTAATTTCAAAAAACATAAAAAGCGTTGCAAATAAGAGAAAAGTGAAGTAAACAAATTTGATCACAAAAAATTTTCTGATAATTAGCATATAAATATGCAATTTATTCAAGTTCCAATTCAAATTAGATATCTACAAGTATACAATTTCTTAATTTGCTTCACTACAAAATTAAAATAAAAATCATAATTTCTTAGAAAAATTGGATAGCAACGGATAATTTTTCTTGACTATCAAATATAATCCAATATCTTTCATTTTAACACAAATGCAAATATTGTAAGAAAATGACTAACCAATTTTACATGTGTTTTCCATATGCTTTTTGCTTGCTAAGTAATTTTGTTTTTAAGTAGAAAAGATAAGCATAAGGTTCAAACAAAAGTTAGTGCCTATTTATCTTATCAGTACGGTTGAAAAGCAAAAGTATAAAGTAGAATATAATTTTTTGTTAAATTTTGCTACGATCTGATTCAATCAATTACAGTTTATTCTTAAAACTTTCAAATATATTATTTAATTATGTATTTTATTGTTTAATTATTTGAAAAGTTTTTTCATTTCAGAGTAGTTCTCAAAAATTTGCCAACTTTGGATAATTTAAATACTTGAAAATGAAAAGCTGACATTTTTAGTTCAAAAAACAAAATAACATTAGTAAATATTTTTTGTAAAAGTTAATTAATGCTTGAATTCTTGCAGATAACTTTAGAAAACTTTAAATTCAAAATGAAAAACTGATGAAAGCAAAGGTAATTAAGGTATTATGGTGTTATTTTCGTGTAAACAAATTGTCAAGAAGTATTATTTTGTGATATCAATTTCAGCAATTACTATTTATCATTTTAATTTTAAATTAGCATTTATTTCATGAAATTGAGAAACAATTTTAGCAGTTTTCAGAAAATAAAAACAATTTCACAGAATTATTTTTCAGAATTGTTCACATTATTGAAGTTCAGTAATGAAAATTTCTGCTCAAATTACATTAATGATTTAATCCGCTGACACAACGTGTGAAATTCAAATTTTCTTAATAAAATTTTAAACAAATATTTTAAAAAAGTATCAAATTTAAAAAGCCAGATTTTCAAAAATATTTTTCATTGCTTGAAGTTTGTTTGAATAATTGTAGCAAAATTTGATTAAAAGTTTAACGATTGATTAAAAGTATTCTATATTGGACCAAATTTTCAGAAAAAATCAAAAAATAATCATAAATCTAAAAAAATGTGCAAAACTAAAAAATCTTCCGTGCACTACATTACTGATCTAAGTTTTTTATGGCTTTAAAAAATAGGTAATTCTTCTAAATTTGTTATTAAAGCTTCGAAAAAAAAAACTAAAACCTTTAGTAATTACTAATATCCAAGCAGAAACAACGCAAAAATTTGATTTTCCGTTAAAAAAATTTAATGTCGAAGAAATTTGCGAAGTGATTAACTTATTTTGAACGTACAAAGTAAACTTAATTGCAAGTTATTTTAATTGTTTTTTATTAATTAAGCAAGAATAGTTACTCAAAAACATCGCGTAAATTACAAGCTCAAAATTTGCCATTGTTGGTATCACTGAAACTTGCGTTTATTTTATTTTATTTTTTTTTTAAATTTTGAACCAAAAAAAAAAACTTAAAAATATATTAAATATTTTAAATGTTGAAATAAAAGAAGAAACGAGTTTTCAACAACACAATTCAAATCCATCCATTTTTTCTTCTGCAATGCAATGAAATATAAGAAAGGTTCAATTTTGTTAAAGAAGTTTGTCATATATCCGTTCATCGCAGTAAATCATTCAATAGTTTTTTCTGTCTTTTTGTTTAGAAAAAAAAATTCAAAAAAAGCAAAAAAAGGTTACAAACTTTTTGTCAACTATTGTACTTAAAATAATTTAATTAAAGACATTTTGAAAGGCATTTCTTTTATTTCCAGTAAAGGTTTTGCAACAATATTGTAAGATTAAATCTTAGTGACTATTTAATATTTTTATTTTAAAAACGTACTGATTTTTTAAGAAATAACACACCTCGGTCTAAAATTCTGAATTTTCATTTCTATTTGAATTCAGAGATTATGCAGAAAATTAATATGCAGTCCAGACTGATCTAAGCTATTTTAACATGTTTTAACATCCAAAAATTTCCATTTTTCCACTTACTAAATTATCCAAGATTTCATTAATGAATACTGATGAGAAAAATTATTTTATTGAACCTCTACATATTGCAAAAATTAAAAATTCTATATATTATGAAACTTTTAAAATTTGTAATGTTGTATTGTTGATCACTTAACCTTTTGATCACTTTACTCAATTATTTTCTCAATCGTAGTTAAAAATAGACTTGAATAAGCTGTCCTTCTAAAAGGCATCTCAGTCTTAAACTGCGATTCATCAAAGCTTCAAGATGATTAATCCTTGGCATTTTATTATCATAAAAGAAGGCAGCCAGCCGTTGAAGTAGCAGTTGTATAGGAAACGAGAAAAAGATAAACGCGAATTAAAGATAAATATGCAAAAATAAAACAAATGATTATTAATGAAATAATAATCTTTATCACTCTTTTGTGTACATTTCATTGTTATCATATATCAGTAGTTATTAACATTATGTGTCAACTGATATATTGTCAATTGCTTATACTAATTTTCAGTGATTGCAAGCAGCAAAATTATAGTTACCCAAAAGGTTTTCTCTTGATTCAAATTAAAAAATGCTCATAACTAATAACTCTTAATTATTCTCAAGATTTTATACCATTATTCATGCCAATTTTTAGACTGTATCATTTTTTTAATTAAATTAAAGCATCAAAAAATACGCGCTCATATCTTATGAAAACAAAATTTTTTATAAAATATCCATTGAAATAGAATCTCAGAAGACTGTGGAAAACCTGTTTTTAATGACATAGTTTCATTTTCAGGTGGCAAATAATTTTTAATGCGACAAAAAAACTCAATAAAACTTGGTGAATTTTAATCTTTTCG